TGACATGTCCTTACACAATGATCCCCCTCGTTTTCTTCCAAAAACAGGAAAGAGGACTACTTAGAGATGTTTACCAGTCAAAGCCTTTACTTCCCCAGCTTGGCCAAGGAAATGTCCTGGGGGAGGGCGCCAGCTCCCACATATCTCAAAAAGGAACACAGCTCTTCAGATGGAGAACTGCCCCCCCAACAGAGGACACGCAGCCACCTTGGCGGAAATACATCCCCTACACCCCCGAAGAACAAACAACAAACATGTTTTTGAAAGAAGGAAAGAAAAAACACAACCACAGGAAAAGAAAGGTCAGACAAGAAAATGGTTGAGTTTGGATTTTGTCGTGCTGGCAGACCCAGGCCTTGAGGAGACGTTTTCTAGCAGATGGCCTTCTGGCAGGTGGTCTCTTCTCTCCAAGGAGGCCTCAGAGATTCCTGGAGCGGTGGCGTCCTCCCTTTGGAGAAATGGAGAGAAAAGAGTTGAACCCTCGGACGAGATTTGCTAGCTCCGCTTTGTGGACTTCCAGCGAATGGCCAACAGAGCACGAGAGTTTTATGCCAGCCTAATGCAAAAGGCACCACTTTGGCAGAGAGATGATCTCCTGTTAAGAAATCATGATAGATATTCGCTGCTCCATACTGAGTCACGTGACTCATCCTCAACAGGTAACATCTATGTCAATCACTGAATTGGAGACAGTTACTCCATTTGTCTTACACTTGTGAACACAACAGGACTTTTACCAATAAACTCGAAAATCAGAGGGTGGTTCTAACCATTCTGATAGTGTTCTTGCCTATGTTTTATATGACTAACACATCTCAATCGCCTTAATGTTTTGCTTTACCATAGGGATTGCTCACAACAACACATTGTTGCTGTAAAAACGGTCTCACCACCACCACCACCACCCAGGTTAGTGCATAGCTTGCATTGAAGCTCAGGTGGAATAGGGGAGCTCAAGAGATTTGACAAAGGATAGGACATAACCAGGTAAAGGTAAAGGTTTCCCTTGACAATTTTTGTCCAGTCGTGTTCGACTCTAGGGGGCGGTGCTCATCCTGGTCTCCAAGCCATAGAGCCAGCGTTTTGTCCAAGGACAATCTTCCGTGGTCACATGGCCAGTGCGACTTAGACACGGAATGCTGTTACCTTCCCACCGAGGTGGTCCCTATTTATCTACTTGCATTTGCATGCTTTCGAAATAGTGAGCAGCTTCTAGGAAAGAAACTCCTACATTAAGTAATTGCTTGGGAACGAACCTGTATCAATATTAATTGGTTGGACAACCTGAGAAGAGCCAAGAGGCCATTTATCTCACCTTATTTCATTCCCACTGTATATGGACTGCGATTTCTTCTTTGTCTTTTGCTTTCTGTAGCGTAAGACGTAGATCACTAACGCTGCGAGCAGAAGCAGAGCTAAGAGGGTCCCAATAACGGCTCCAGCAATCGCCCCCGCTTGGGAAATGCCTTTTTTGAAACATACAAAACACAGGATTTTAAGAAGACTCCAAGCTTCAAGAGGGCAATGAAAAAGCCAGCAACCATGTAACCAAATGTCCTACAGCAGTCCTGGATGGACTCACAAAAAGCAGAAAGACAGTTATTCTGTGTTATGCTTCATGATACACCGGATGGACAGCTGGACAGAAGTATTTTCCTCCTTGCCAGTGAAGGCAAAGACGCCTTTTTCTAGAAATTGTTAACATTTCCTTCAGTCAATGTATAATATGAACAAATAATACTATTCAGTAGACCATTAGATCCCGGCCGTGAAAGCCTTCGCGAATACATCTGGGAGTTTTACTTACTTGACAGACCTGTAAAGTTGCAAATAGATGAACATGATGCACCTGGGAGCAAGGCCGAAATTAGAAGGCTCTGTGGCTTAGCAAGTGTCCTCTTCCTGCCCGGGCGCAAGATGGGAGTTTTCTTCCTGAGCAGGACAGTTGGGAAGAGGCAGGCCTAGCAAAGGCTTCTCATTTAGGCCTTGCTCCCATGTACACCAAACTCAGGTATTTGCAGGATGTCCACAATAGAGCTAAAACTCCCAGATCAGAGAAGTATGGTATGTGTATTCCAGAAAACCTGAAAATCACAACACTATTGCCCACATCTAGACGGGCTGGATCTTCGCCGAGGACACACAGTCGGGAATCAAACTCCCAACCAGATGCCTGATTCACAGAACTATCCAAAAGGTGTTCCCGGCTAGTTACTCCTTTTAAAATAGTTTTTAAAAAGGAATAAGGAAAAGGAGGGCCAAACAACGTGGACTTCACCATGGCCTAAGCAGCTCAGGTGCAGATGCGTGGCTTCCTGCTACTTCCCATCCCATCGCTTGCCCTTCTGGTGGCTATTTGGGAGGCCGCTGAACCTGGAGCCCTGGACATTGACCCTCGAATCAGCTTCTGGCTACATCCCTCTAATGGGAGCATGGCAGGGCGCAGGGAGACTGATTTTTTAAAGGACTGGCTGCCTGAGAGATTCCTGGAATTGTAATACTATGTAATACTATGGGGATTGGAGAAAGGGGCCCCTTTTACACAGTATTCAGAATACATGTTTGAAAATGAGTGGCCTATAAAAGTAGAGCAGTTGGGATGAGCCATCTGGTGTGAAATGGTACCTTGAGCAGCTATATCGGTAGGATGTGATGGAGAGCAAATGAGAAAAGTAGTAGAAGAGGAGAAAGCAGAGAGCAGCAGCAAAAATAGAAGCAGGCACTATTTGTCATGTTGGAGGAGGTTTTAAAAATGCTGATCTCTTTATATGACGGAGAGGTAAGGACAAGGACTTCCAACAAAACTGAGGGACGGTAGTACAGTGTAAGAAGACAGAGGGAGAGAGACGTGGAATTCTTTTCTACCAGATGTACTGAAGAATACTACAACTAAATTTGAAAAGGCTAGAGCACTGAAATATGTGCATTTATTATGTGAGATACCTAGGTATGAGTGATTCTGGGTTAAATCACAGCAAAAATGTTTGTTAACTGCTTTTACAGTGTTTGCCCTCCTGTCATCCTGGTCTTTCAAGGTGCTCCACATGAGCAATAAGATTTAAAAACAAAGGTCATGCTTACCACCAGGGGACAATTTCAAAACAAAAGCAGATTAATTTGCAAGATGGAGATTTAGGCAATGTTGTGCTAAGTTAAACAGTCACTTTGCCTCTTCTTTGAAGAGACCCTTGTCCAGCAGGCCGAGGCAAAGAGGCAGTCCCGAAAGCAGCCCTTCCCATTTGTCTTTCTCCAAATAACACAATGCATTTCAACGGGGCATTTCAAGATATCTGTGATTCTTCCACTCACCAAAAAATAAAAAAAATAAAAATCAGAGTGGGAAAAGGAAAGTATTTACTGTATTGACCGCTAGATGGCGTAATAGGCTAATGTCTGAAATAAGAGACTTTTCTTTTTTGCATCTTCTGTGCATGGCAAAAATCGGTGGGATTTTTTAAAAATTTCCAAAGCATTCCAAATGTAGATCATGCCATGCAAGAGAAAATGCTCTCTTTCCTTCCTACAACATTCACTAGCCTGGATACTTAATTATAATTTTATTTTGGGTTGTAGAAGTTACTCATCAGACAATCTTTTGCATTTCTGAGAACTATTCCTCAGGCAGAGAGAGTACCCGGTTTAGGGGCAAAAGAAGAGGAAAGTGCTGAAAAAGCAAGCCAGATGTGATGCCCATTGTCCTTGAAGACAGACTGCTGGCAACACGAGACTGAATTTGCAGATGAGGGTCAGAAACGGAGGATAAAGGTAAAGGTAAAAGTTCCCCTTTGGCAATTTTTGTCCAGTGGTGTTCAACTCTAGGGGGCGGTGCTCATCCCTGTTTCCAAGCCATAGAGCCAGCATTTTGTCCAAAGACAATCTTCCGTGGTCACATGGCCAGTGCAACTTAGACACGGAACGCTGTTACCTTCCCACCGAGGTGGTCCCTATTTATCTACTTGCATTTGCATGCTTTCGAACCACTAGGTTGGCGGGAACTGGGACAAGCGGCGGGCACTCACTCCGTCGCATGGATTCGATCTTACAACTGCTTGATCTTCTGACCCTGCAGCACAGGCGTCTGTGGTTTAGCCCACAGCACCACCACGTCTCTCGGGAAACAGAGGATAGAGGGAGCTAATCATCAGAGCCGAAAATGTTTCTTTGCAGTACGGGGACGATTGAGCCTTTCTTTCCAGGGCTGTGAAATCAGACATCCAAAGAACCCCATGTTCTGAAGACCAGTCACAGAACAAAGCAGGCTAACCCACATACTCCCGGAGTTGACAGAAATTCTGGTTGTGGCCCTCAGACTCTCACCTTAGTTCAGAATTCCTCTTATGGATGTCATGGGCTACCTCTAACTTCACTTGATGTAAAGACAAAGATGCCAAAAATATGTTTATACCTTCTCCTCTATAGGCCCCACATACTCCCGGAGTTGACAGAAATTCTGGTTGTGGCCCTCAGACTCTCACCCTAGTTCAGAATTCCTCTTATGGATGTCATGGGCTACCTCCAACTTCACTTGATATGAAGACAAAGATGCCAAAAAATATGTTTATACCTTCTCTCTCTATCGGCAGAAAGATGTGTTGTATAGGTCAACAAACCTGCTCTTGTAGGTCTGTTGGTGGCCCTGAGAGGTCTCTTGTGTTGGCTTAGAGCAGAAAAAAGAGGGCAAGATGAGGTTGTCACACCACAAAACAGGAGATCAAAGAGCCACAGCTAAACATGTACACCTGGTTTTCTACTGTAGAGTAGTGTACAAAGCACATTGTAAAATACTATCTTAGTATAATTCTCTCAAATAGCCCTGTAGAATTTCTCATCATAAAGCACAGTCCTTTATCCACCACCTCATGGCCACCTTAAGGACTGCTGGGTGGATGATCTAGGTGGACTGCACTTTAAGAAGCACCCCTTGCTGGATTTGCTTTGCTTTAGGACAGATCCAACATAAAACTGCACAAGTCAATTATATTTGAAAAGCATTTGTTGCCAGTAAGTTTGAAGTGTAATAATCAAGGCTAATTTAGCTGCTTCTAAGCCCCTCCTCTAAATTATGCTGGGTGTCATCTTCCCACGACTAGAACCACTTACAACCATCAATTTCATTGAACATCTAGGTGGTTGTAATGTGCCATCGAGTCAGAAATGACTTACAGTAGCCCTAATAGGGTTTTCAAGGTAGAAAAAAAATTAAGCAGTGGTTTTACCAGTTCCACCCCAAGTGAGTTTCCATGACAGAGCCAGGAAACTGAACTCCTAATTCATTGCTCTATTGAACATCTAGGTGGTTGTAATGTGCCATCGAGTCAGAAATGACTTACAGTGGCCCTAATAGGGTTTTCAAGGTACAAAAAAAAATATTAAGCAGTGGTTTTACCAGTTCCACCCCAAGTGAGTTTCCATGACAGAGCCAGGAAATTGAACCCCTATCAACGGAGTCCTAATTCATTATTCTTTCCATTACAACAGTGGTTCCCAACCTTGGGTCCCCAGATGGACTGAAATTCCCAGAAGCCTTCAACACTAGTTGTGCTGGCCAGAATTTCTGGGAATTGCAGTCCAAGAACATCTTGGGACCCAAGATTGGGAACCACTGCACTATACCCGGGTGCCCTTTCTAGGCAGTATCAGCTTGTTTATGCTTATGCTTAAAAGGCCACTGGGAAGGATTAAGAAGCAGAGTTCCTGGATGCATCCATCAAGATCTCATCCACACCTGTCACTTTGAGGGATAACTGGCAGCTCTGTTGTCCAAACTCGTTTGACGCCACACATTGATATGTCCCAGAGAACTCAAGGGAGACGTTGGTGAGCAGCAGGGTCCCGGTTTTGCCATCTGTGTGAAGGAAAGAGAAATAGGAAGGAGGTGAAGAAACTCAGTGCTCACATGACGCCACACATTGATATGTCCCAGAGAATTCAAGGGAGATGTTGGTGAGCAGCAGGGTCCCGGTTTGGCCATCTGTGTGACGGAAAGAGAGACAGGAAGGGGGTGAAGAAACTCACAACAGAATGCCCAGTGCTCACGTAAACCTTACATTACAGATGGGCACAAAGTACAAAAACAAATCGCCAAATTCATTCAAAAATTCACTAATTCCTCTATTTGCGCCAAATTCATTCAAAAATCACTAATTCTTCTATTTGCACTTGTACAAATCAATGCCCCCAACAAATACAAATCAATGAATTCTTAGTGATTTTTGATTTATTGGGCTGTAAAATGATCCCCAGACACCTAGAGACACCAAAATTGCAGGGACACTTCCTCTGATTCTCCTCTACAATCTCTCCAAGTTTGGTGAAGATTGGATTTTGGATGTCTGTGTTATGGACCCACAAAGACCCCCCCCAGGAAACCTAGGGACTCAAAAGCACAGAGAAACTTCCCATGACTGTAGTGTTCCCCAACCTTGGGCCTCCAGATGTTCTTGGACTACAACTCCCAGAAGCTTTCACCACCACCTCTGCTGGGCAGGATTTCTGGGAGTTGAAGTCCAAGAACATCTGGAGGCCCAAGGTTGAGGACCAGTGCTCTGCAGTATCTCCCACTTTGGTGAAGATTCGGTTTGCCTAACCCAGCTGCTAGAAGGCACTTTCCTAGGGGGACCCACTTCGTAGATGTATAACCTGGATATCTGAAACCCAAACTTCACCAAACTTGGAGTGATTGTAGAGGAGAGCCAGCAGAAGCTTCTTGGTGCTTTTGGTGTCTCTAGGTGCCTGGGGTTAACTTTTCTAGAAGGGCCTCTTGGTAGGTGTATAACTCAGGCATCTGACACCCAAACTTCACCAAAATTGCAGAGCTTGTAAAGGAGCATCAAGAGGAACCCTCTCTGTGAATTTGTTATCTCTACGTAGGCGCTGGTGGGGGGCATTTTATAGGGTTTTAAAGTAAAAAAATGAATTGACGAATGGATTCATGGATTCGTCAGGGAAAAAATCATAAATTTGCAATTTGTGATTCATCGGCCTTGACAAATCACGAATCAAAACGAATCACCATTTTTCTGATTCGTGCCCATTTCTACCTTATGTACTTTAGGAAAAAAACTGAGAGTGGCTGAAATGATCAGCTCTTTGTACAGAAAATAAATATTGGAAGAGATTCACACTGAGCACTTCAAAGTGTTGCTTAGTTTCACATCTCTGTAAAATCGGAATAGGATGCATGGGGATTGCGGAGAACATGCAGTTATCTCAATAATGAATGTATGCTTTCGAGTGATGGGGGGTTAGGATCTCATCAACTGGTCTCATAGTTTCTTTTCTCATCTTCCAGCAGGCTGTACCCGAAGAAAAGAGGTTAGGGAAGAGTGCCTTTCCAGCAGCCCTCCTGAAAGTATTCCTGCTTGCACAAATAAGATACTTAGGAGTGAAAAGTGACTATAAGGTGTCTTGGCTAGCCTAGAGGAGACCCCGAGAATTTGATTTATGTAAGCGTCGCATGACCTGATAACTCTGTTCTCAAGCTGACACTGGCAATGGGAGCTGGAATTCTACTAGTGAAAAATTGCTTGCCAAAACTTGTATAAAATTATGTTGGCAAAAATGAATAGTGTAGGAGAAACATGGGGAAAAAAAGTTCTGAAGTCTTACAGCAGCGAAAAGGCAAACAAGTTTTGTTTAACACCGGCTTTTGTGGACATAATCTTTCATGAATCTAAAGGATCACCAAAGTATTCATGCAAAGAGAAAAAAAACATAACCATTTAGAAAATTAAAAAAGACTCTCCCGTATTTGATGCAAAAAGAAAATCCATGAATTTTCACGCAGGCTTTATAAAAACCAAGCTGGGGTGGCAACAGAATTAAACAATCCTGTTTTAGAAAAAAAGAATGAAGAACCAAACACAAGCAAACTCACTGATCTGTCATTAAAGGTCCAACAGAGAGAAAATATCTCTCCCCCCCCCCCCCCCCCCCACCACCAGCCAAAGCTAGGAAAAGTTACTTTTGTGGACTGTAGCTCCTGGCATACCCCAGCTGCTATGACTGTTTGACAGGGTTTCAGGGTGTTGTTCATTAAACAAGGATTTCTTCCAAGTTACAGTTAGAATGTAAAGTGACGGAAGAAGTAACAACACAAGATAAAAAGTGTTTGCCATCTTTTGGACTCCCTTTCTCCCTGGAGAATTCTGGCCGCTGTAGCCCAAAACCCAGATCTGCATAGCTCTAGGATCTTCCCTTGATTTGTTACTAAATATATTTATTAATTAAATTGCTAGTTTCAAAAGAGCCACAGCATTTACGTTTTCGTTACTCTTTTTGTCGCAGGTTCTGACATAGACAAATACATTTTGATGAGAATAAAAATCACATCTAGGCCTTGGCATGCCTTCTACATTTAATGTCAACTATGTCCCCAAAGAAGGCCATCCTTGACGTACTTTGCACCATGTTGGTCGTAGGAAGGGGAGTCTTGGGATCTGTCCGGGTCCAGGAGTAAATTGGGGCAGGCACACCTTCTGAAGCGTTGCAGGTCATCCTGGCTTCTGACCCCACGGGAGCAAAAGTGGTCCCTTGGCAAACCGGAGTCGAGGGGGGCACTGATGAGACAAGAAGGAGCAGTCAGACATGGGGAAAGAGATGTACACCCTGTTTGCAAAAAGCACCGTTGCAGGTCCTATGGGTGCCCTAGAAACACAATATATTGGTGCTGTGCTCACAGCAGGATTGAACATTCCATAAATCGACTCAAAGCTCACTACCATTCACACTTTTAGGAAACCGCCCTGAGCATGGTTTTGTGTTCGAGGTGGGAACTGGTCTAGCTCAGCAAACAAGACATGCTCCATGTCAAAAATCTGAGTCCAGAAACAAATGTTAAAGATAGCCCATAACTAGAAGAGGGAAGTTCTTTATGCATAAAAGCCTCTATCATAGCACAACCTTCTCTCACCCACAGGGTTATACAAATGATATTGCTTGAGTCCCCTCTTTGGGAGAAAAGCAGCCTACAAATGACACTCGCTCACTCACTCACTCACTCACTCACTCACTCAATCAATCAATCAATCAATCAATCAATAGTTTTGTTTTATTTGGAGTTTGGTCTTCAGAGATTCTTTTGAAGTTTGTTTTAACAAACACAGAAAGACAGGCCCAATCACCCCTCTGCAACATTAGCAGACCTCTAGCTCTTATCATAGGCCGTCTCTCACCGTCCCAAACAAGATTTCATCCGCTCTAGCAGTAATTCATGAGTTATGGTGAGGTGAATTTGTTATTTTGCAGAAGATGAGGGAAATTGCTGAGCGGTCCGATCCACATGGACACTTGTTTCTGGCAGAAAACGGACAGCTGGAACATTCCAGATTTTGGGATATGTGGGGGGGGGGCCACAAGGCCAAGCATATCAAAGCAAAGCCCCCTTTCCAAACTCTGCTCCAGTCTTGGATTGAAGGCCTCCATTGGGGAAGTCCTGCGGTTCCTAGGAACCATTTCTACTGTTAAGATGCTTTGATTTTGTTTTGGACCAACCAAAGATCAGCTCAAATTTTAGAAAAATGTGCTGTGAATTCTTATAGTAATGATTTTATTTTGAGTCCTTGTCAGCATGGATTATTGCCTATTCAATAACTGAAATCTTGTTGTTTAGCCTAAGAGTATTTATAACAGCAAACAAAGAGTCTGCATTGTGATTCTCAAGGCGTAGCATGCAGGTACTGTTGCACAGTTTTGAATTTTTGGTTAGACTCCTCTAGTTGCACAGCAAAAGTACAGGGACTTAAATAGCAGAATTAGCTTCAGATCTCCACAAAGTAAACCATCCTTTATTGTCTCATTAACTGACACTTTCAGTCTCAATAACTTACTCGGAGACATTGGTAAGAAAAAGAATAAACATTTCATTTACTCACAGTTGAACAGATCAAAACAGCACACTGTACAAGAAGGATGGCTTACAACAACAGGCCTCAACAAACTCACAGCCTGCTTCCAGCAGATTCCTGCAGACTACATTATAACTGCACATTCACTGCTAACTGCCAGCAGACTAAAAAAAGGGGGGCACTTAAGTATAGACATGTGCCTCTCTTTAAATTTGGAGGTGAGGAAAGGAACAATTACCGTATTTTTCTGTGTATAAGACACTCCCATGTATAAGACGCTCCCACTTTTCTAATCCAAAATTAAGAAATCTAAGTGGGGCTTAGCAAGGGTGAGGGGAAAGGGATCAAAGCGCTGGATCCCTGCTTTTCCCTCCACTTGTTTTTGTTGTCTTCTCAGCTTACTTCCATGTATAACATGACCCTCAATTTTTAGTCTAAAGATTTTAGGCAAAAGTATAGCCTTATACACAGAAAAATACGGTAGTTAGTGCTGGATAGACTGATAGTAGCCCCAGCTAGAGGTTGAAATAATACAACAGATGCACATGCATACACCCCTCCCTTTGGCAAACCCGTAACTAATAATTTTAACCCCCCAGGCAATGGTTCCCCAACTGTGCACTGTGATGCTGTGGAGGGCACCAGCAAACCCACTGAGGGGCACCGTGGGATCCTCTTATCCCCCCTCCCTTCTCCCGCTTCACCCAAAGTATCGTACAGCACTTCCTTCCACTTTCTCAAGTGTCCGTGCCTGGTGCAGGAAAGGAACCCTGGCCCAATCTTGCCAAAGGACTGGGTTTTCTGCCCTCCTGTTCCCAAGGGAGCCTTCCCTGCCCCCCCCTCAAATCCATGCAGCTTCTCCATTTAACCAGAAGGTGCTTCCCTCAAAGACATCAGGCCAAGAGTACGTTTCCATTATGCTACCTGTATATAACATAATCTCTGGTTCCATCTAGTGCTCAGTCCTGGTAATACACCTGGGGAACATGTATTTCTGGGTTGCTTTTTAAAAAGCAGTGGATAAGTGAAACTGCGGGTACTGATCTTGCAGACACGGCAGTTCTAGTGTATTGGGGAGCTTCAGCCAATAAGTCAAGGGAGCCATGAGTTGAAAAAGTTTGGGAATCACTGACCTGGGGAAATTAACACTGTCTCTGACCCAGTCCATCCTGACGCACTGGGTGTGAGTAGCCCTCAAAAAGAAAAGAAAAAGGAGGAGGAGGAGGAGGGGGGAAGTCTGGCGCCAGCCTAGAAGAAGGTGTTTATGGTTTCGACAACAGCAGCAGGAATAGGGCCAGGAGGTTCTTTATTTTCCTACGATTCATCAATAGACTCTTTGCCAAATTTTAGGGCCCTTTCAATTCGTTCCCCCGGGGCAAAACCCCGGTTGCTTTGCCTAATGACAGCCCTGCTTTTTGGCCTTCTTGCTCTTATTTTGCTCCACTTGCATTTAGCAAACATTACTCGTAAGAGTAATTACAGATTTGAAAACTTTTATGTATCTGCATGTCTCTAATAATGATTTGAAGAAAACAAAACAAAGGAAAAGCTTTGCCTAATGTGCAGCTGAAATCTACCCCTTCGATAGCTTAAGCCCATGAGATCTAGCCTTCACCCTGCCAATGGCCTGGAACTGCATGTCTGTGCGAGGTTAACCCTGAAGCAAGGACTTACTTAAGACTGTGAACTGGACAAGGCCGGAGCTGGTGCCGTAGAAGTCTGGAGGATTGTTCACCTCACAGATATAGGAGCCGGCATCGGAAGTGTGTATATTGCTCAGTTGGATGGATGCATCGCCCAGCGTGGGAGGGTCATGAACAAGGTGTAGCCGTTCGGACTGAGAGCCTGGTTTGTACAGAACATTATTGGCAAAGTAGAGGATCTGCAGAGAGAGAGAGAGAGAGAGAGAGAGAGAGGTGTTTCAGCCAGGTTACGTTACTGGAGCTCAGATAAATAAGAGGAACTCTAAATCCAATCACGAGTCCTAATTAGGGTCAACCTGCAGCGATTTTGCAATATTAAAAACTTCCCCCACCACATACCAAGACTCCCAAAGACTTCCCAAGGACAAAAGGGATACCTGGGGAGCCTCAGAATCTGATGGGGGAAATAGGAAGTTTCCAATCTAATTACATTAAATAGATCTGTCATAGGATGATGACCACATCCAGTGTAAGTAAGCCATTGAATTCATGGGAATTCAACAGCTGAGATGAACAACCAGCTGATACTCTCATCAACTTCCCCTTGCAGATCCCACGGCTCCCTTTAAGCTCCTTCACCTGTTTCCCGCTCTCGGGAGAGGCTGATCCAGGGGCGAACCTCCATTCCAGCACAAAGTTTTTGTCCACGGAGGTTTTATAATGACAGGGCAGTTCCACGCTGCCGCCTCTGAGCTCCATCACTGGATTTGCGGGCACGGTCACCTCTACGCATGACCCAGCTCCTGTAGGGAGACAAAAAGAAGCTCGCCACTTTGGCCATCCTGCATCTTGGATTATGCCCACCTTTCTATCTTGGACATTGGCACCAAGAGTCTTCTTAATACAGCACAAGGTGGGCATGTTTCCTATTTCACAGGGGGCAGCCCTCTGTGGGGAAGACAGTCCTGCCAAAGTCTAGGTTAAAGCTCCCTCCCTCATGAAAAACATGCGCAAGGCCCTGAAGCTGCCCACACACAGTCACTATGTTGATTTATGAAAATTTTTCTTTCCAGCCCATATCTGAAGATAACAGGGTTTAGTACAGAGAACAGAAGACCATGAAGCAACTGAAAATTATATACTATAACCCTGTTTAAAACAATTAAAGAAGAAGAAAAAAAATACACACAGAAATCACAACTGAAGAGGTGAACACCCATCTGTGGCCCCTGAGCCTAAACCTTGGGGTGATGAGCCAGTTTTTAACTTAGCGTCAAAACAAAGCCAACATCTAGTTAGTACCTGAACAGCAGAACGGGTTGGCACCGGGGTTACCTGCTCACAACCTTCTGCAAATTTAATGCAATTTGATACCTTCTTTTTTCCTCTGTGCCATTTCATCTTTTAAATAGAGCCATTCATGGCTGTAGCTTTTAAGCCCTGAACTTACTGTTCATGCCAGTGACCTTACTCCTCTGCTCTTCCTTACAGATCCTTTCCTCATGGGTAAACCTACGTAGTTTTAGAAAACTACTCATCAGTATGATTATCCCAATATTATTCACTCTCTGCAATATTTTACTAATGGAGGCAGGTACTTCCTGTTCTTCAGCTTGGTCTTGTGGTTTCAGTGCCATCTCTCCACCCTATGCACATCAGAACCCGTGAACACAACTGCTGTTCACTTTTGACAGCAAACTAAGCAACTTTAGACTGCACAACATCACAGTGGATTAAGTGGCAGGCATTATAAATGAAGAGGAGAAGGGGACGACAGAGGACGAGAAGGCTGTACAGCATCATCGAAGCGACCTGAATTTGACCCAACTCTGGGAGGCAGTGGAAGACAGGAGGGCCTGGCGTGCTCTGGTCCATGGGGTCATGAAGAGTGGGACACAACTTAACGACTAAAGAACAACAACAATTATAAATCAGGTGTGAGGAACAGGAAGTCCGAGCATCACTGGACTTCAGCTCCCATCAGTTCTGGCTAGTATAGCCAGTGCTGAGGGATGCTGGCAGTTGTTGTCCAAAAGCATTTGAAAGGCCAGACCTCCCCCACCACGGCCCCACAGGAGATGAGACACAAAGCTATTCAGCGACAGTTCCCGTCTGGATGTTGGTTCGAATATCTTGAGCCTTTTGGAGGAAGCTAGAATTGTCACGTCCATGAAGCCTGAGAGAGTTTGCTGCAAATCAGGATTTACCCGCCCCCCCAAGTTTTGGAACAACGACTCGAAAATATAAAGAGCCAATTCAATCTTGTTGCCCCAATTGAAACTTCTACAGGTGGAAGATCACAGGGCTCCTTTGATCCTTGCCTTCTTTGATACGAGCTCTCAATTGTTTGGCTGGAAAGCTATGGCTAAACACATAGCCACTTCATTACCTGTTTGTGTATTTTGTTGCATAAAATAGTTATATTAATTTGACACATATTTCAAAATTGTATTTGACCATTGCCCTGGGATTGCAAAGGTGAGGAGATGCATACTCTGGCCCCACCAACCAAAGACCATAGAGAGGTTGTGTCTCTTTCTTCCTAGAAAAGCATCACAGTAAGGGGGGAAACCAGCCTGGCCGACTCCTGAGCCACAGAAAGAAAGCTGTTCGGATACTTGCTTTCTTCTACCACCCCCATACTGTTTTCCTTTTGTGTTGTGTCTATCCAGGTCTAGGTCTGTCTGATCAATCAGTATAGAGCTTATTCCACAGTACAACTGTGTTTGTCTCTTGTTTGCAGTTTTCTAGAGATCTTCGAAAACATTAGGCACTGCATGATCGTAGCTATTATTTAATACAGACAATCCTATATTGGCAAATTTCAAGTACTCACCCAAGAACGTAATGAAAAACAGCCAAGAGGAACACAAAGGGGATGGGAAGGCAACGTTCAGGCCCATTTCTCCAAAGGGAGACCGCACTTCTTTTCCCAAGAGAGCTGAAACCCAACCCGAAACTGAGCAACACAATTCTTTATCTCGTATGTGAACCACAAGCAAACAGTGCAGGCAAAGCTCTGAATCACAACTTAGCAAAAGGCCTCCTTTGATATGCGAGGGTAACCATAGCCAGCCATTTCCAACTTACATGCTGGTGCCTGGGGGGTGGGGGGCTGTCCATTCACACAACCGAATTTTTTTGTGTCTTGCTTATCCTTTACTAAAAAAAATTCCTTGCTTTTCCTACGCTGGATGAAGGAAACTGGGAGCCCTGGTCCAAAAGAGTAATTTCCCCCAGCTTTGAACAAAGAGGTCTTGTTGTAATTCACTGGATAGTTCAGTGGTTTAAGTCTCTGGAGCCAGAGGTTGGGTGTTCGATTCCCCCACTGGGCCTCTTGAGGATCCATCGGGTCCCTTCCAATTCTGCCGTTTGAGGATTAAATTGTTCTTGGTCCATCCTGGCGAAACTCCAGCTCCATGAGGCTGTCTCTGTGTTTTGACGAGTGACAGTTAGACGAGTAACCAGGATAAAAAGGCAAGGCTGAGATTTGACCAGATATGTATGTGAGAGAAATAATGTGTGCTTCTGTTTGGGAGAGTGCAAGTCTGAAACAAGGTAGTGATGGTGATGGGGAGACAGTTTAGTAATTTCATTCATTCATTCATTCATTCATTCATTCATTCAGTCATTCAGTCATTCAGTCATTCAGTCATTCAGTCTCTCTCTCTTTCAGAGCATTGCACAATTTAAAATTATGGATGTATGTGAAATATAGGTAAAATTTGAAACAAATCAAAATGTTAAATTAATTAGACTATTTTGAACTATGTCAATAGCATGATCTCAGTCAATGGCTAGATCTTTTGTACACTTGGTGGGGCATAAATTGGTTAAATCTGGGGGGAACTAGTTGTTATCAGAAACCAGCTACATACACCGGTGGACATGTGCTTGTGGGCATCATTAATCCTTCTCCCCAGAGCAGCTTTGCAGCATTCAGAACCTTTTTGTGGTGTTATTTAAGGGAGAGTGTGTGCACGTTTGTCTAAATACCCACAGTGCCCCAGCTGCACCTGGTGTGGATCAGAAGGGTTAACACAGGAGAAAGGGTAGCAGATTCTGTCCTGGTCAGGCACCCATTTCAGTGAGTCCATCTTCAAAGGGATTCAATGTTTTCAATGAAAGTGTGGTAGCAAGGCTGCCATTCCAGTCCAGATCCGGGGCTCATGACTGCCAGCGGTGTTCTTTCAGTGCATATACAGAGAGAGAGAGAGAGAGAGAGAGAGAAATGTTCATTACGACACATTCCTTATAGGCACAGCAGATGGAAGGTATGTCCTATTGGCTGAAAAACATGGAGTCAAGTATCCTGTCGAGCTCTCACTTGGCAGAATGTCCCACTAGCCTGGCAATGCAGGATCGTACCATGTCCGTGGCTATTGCTGTTGCACAATTGATGACCGGCATGAAAAACACTCACCCTCTGCTTATGGGAACACTTGGTAGAAGTTTTGACTTGGTAGGATAGTCCTCTGTGTGTCCATGTTTTTAAAAGGATATAGTATTTATATGCCTCCAGCTACGCCTTACTTTAATATATCAGACAAAATCAAAAGAAAAATTAAAAAATAAAAAAAGGCAAAAATGTTGTGGCACCTTAAAGACTAACTGCTATATTTTAATGTAAGCTTTTAATTAAGCTTAAATTCTTCAACATCTTTAAAGGTCTAGGCCAGCGATGGCGAACCTATGACACGCGTGCCACAGCAGGCACGCAGGGATCCTTCTGCGGGCACACGAATCATAAGTCACTGGATCACTACTTCCCCCTCCCCCGCAGCCAAATCTGAAGAGGCGGCTGCTGCTGCAGTGCTGGCACTTCGACAGGCGGCGTGCCAGGATCCGGAGCAGCTGGCGCTGGCGGCAGATCCAAAATGGGGTCTCGAGGCACCTTTGTGCCTGGGATTCCCTCTTCTGCCTCCACGTCCTGTTCCACCACCACCACTTCTGGTGCTGCCACTGCCTCCCGCTGCCCGCTGGGTCACCACCACCACTTCTGGTGCTGCCACTGCCACCCGCTGCCCACTGGGTCTTTTGTTTGTTTACAGTTTGGGCTCTGGGGCCCAAAAAGGTTCACCATCACTGGTCTAGGCTTTTTGCACATTGCCGGCTTAAATCTTCTTTGACCCTCTCCCGTGGGCTTGAAATGAATATTTGAGTCAGGCTAGTCCAGCAGAGCAGTGGGACGTGGTGGCGCTGTGGGCTAAACCGCAGAAGCCTTTGTGTGCTGCAGGGTCAGAAGACTAGCAGTCGTAAGATCGAATCCACGTGACGGAGTGAGCGCCCGTCGCTTGTCCCAGCTCCCGCCAACCTAGCGGTTCCAAAGCATGCAAATGCAAGTAGATAAATAGGGACCACCTCGGTGGGAAGGTAACAGCGTTCCGTGTCTAAGACGCACTGGCCATGTGACCACGGAAGATTGTCTTCAGGCAAACGCTGGCTCTATGGCTTGGAAACGGGGATGAGCACCGCCCCTAGAGTCGAACATGGCTGGACAAAAATTGTCAAGGGGAACCTTTACCTTTACCTAGTCCAGCAGAGCAGTGAGAAAAAGACATTTGTAAAGCAGACGAGCATTATCATCAGGTTTTTAGATTCATTTTACTAACAAATTTAAACAAAGCGAGGCAAAAACCAAACTTTTTTTTTTTAAAAAACCTGCTTTAAGACTCGTGTTGGCAAACAGCTTCATGTTAAACTGAAACAACCATTTGTTTCAGCCCACCTTCGGGCAAATGACTCCTCAAATCGCTCAGATACACTTAAGTTCCAGAGTGGGTGTGTGGTTAAAACCTCTCAGTCCTTTTAAAAAACAATACAGACCATTCCATGTCCTCCCTCCGCAAAGGAAATAAAATTCACTCGGGGGAATTAATCATTAACCAAGCTCTCAAAAACAAACCTCACCTCTGTTATCCACACCAGAGCTAACAGCGTTCTCCAGATAAGCTTACCACAAGGCAGGGAACACCCAGGCTAAACAGTTCTCATGTGTTTTACAAATCGGGTGGGTGGGATCCAGTTTCAGTTATACTCCAGTCCCACAGTCCTCAAGTTGGCGTCCTGGGAGCCGTNTTTTATTTTATTTTATTTATATCCCGCCTATCTAGTCCCTCAGGACCACTCTAGGCGGCTTACAACCAACATGTAACAATATAATCAAAACAATTTTAAATAAGGGAAATACGTTAGACAGGATGGGGGAAACACAAGGAGAGAAGAAAAGGGAAGATCAGGATTTAGCTGAGGGGAAGGCCTGCCGAAACATCAGTGTTTTTAGTTGTTTTTTGAAAATACCCAGTGAGGGAGCCGCGCGAATGTCAGGGGGAAAGTTGTTCCAGAGGTGAGGAGCCACCGCCGAGAAGGCCCGATTTCTTGTCTTTTCTTTCCGGGCCTCCCACAGATCTCAATGACTAGATTTCCCCTTCTAACATTGGGGGCAAAGCGACTTCATCGGAGTATGAGGTCTAAGCTCAGATCGTCCCCTCTTTTCTTTCTTTTCTCTGCCAGGACAGAGCCAAGAGAGGGAGAAAAATGGAACAGGGCATTGTAGCCTTTGGTACAGGATGAATGAAGTCAAGAAACAGGTGAGAAGCATTTGCCCTGCTAGTCCCGCTCCCCCTTCAGATTCCCCAAAGTCTCCCTCCGCAAGGCTAATGGGAAAGGACTAGCCCCAAACATCTGGAAGGCCAAAAGCTTCCTTCCCCCTGAGCTATGACACATGCCTTTGTTCTCCCCCCTTACTTTAAAGAAAATGAATTGGAGTGAGATTCACTAAAGTGCAGACTTATCTCTATCTTTACTTCTCCAGTGTAAAGACAGTCCTTCTTTTTACCTAGCACCAGCTGGGTTGGGCCTCTGGTTCCCTCTCCTAAACTCAAAAGAGGAACCAGAACCAGAATCTAGTGATCCGTTTTTCCCACTGGCGATCGCTCTCCCTATGGTAGCAATGTTCAAAATGCTTTCTGCTCTTTCCTCATCCTGAGGTCACTCAAGGAACAAACAGCCTTGGGAGTAGAGTCCCTGAGGGTGGGAGTGGGCCCTCGGCCGACAGGTGGGCCTTGGCAGGCGCCTGGGGATGCCCATGCCTGACACCTTTCTGCCAATACAGGTAAACATATGATAGACCTCTGAAGATCGACCGCCTCCAATATCACTCTGCCCCCTACACGGTGATAACCGATCACAGCCCATCTCTGTGTACTGTGCTTTCGGATTCCAGTCCTAAAAGAAGCAGCGTCTTTGGAGAAATGGCAACATGATCTTCTCTTAACATATTTTCTCAGCAACATCTTTCCTTCCTGCTGGAGACAAGAGAAAGTTGCTTGTGGATGACCATTTTTGGTGGGCTTTCATTGCCTCCATCCCTTTTCTGAAGGTCTCTTGGTATTCAAAAGTTGAACATTGAGGGATGGGGTGGCATCAGCATATCAGATAGCTGTGATAGCCAACGTGTGGCCCTCCAGATGTTTTGGTACTACAGTTCCCATTAGCCCTACCCAACACAGCCAATCTTCAAGACAACCATCTGTCAGATCTGCTTTGACTTGGATTCCTGACGGAGTTGGACTCACTGTCTGTCAAATCTGTTTTGACTTGGATTCCTACATGGAGTTGGACTCACTGACCTTATAAGCCCCTTCCAATTCAGTTATTCTATGATTCTATATTATGGGAGTTGTGATCCATCAGCCTCTGGAGGACCACACCCTCCTCAGTCCCCTTCCAATTCAGTTATTCTATTATTCTGTGAGATGTTATGGGAGCTGTGATCCATCAGCCTCTGGAGGACCACATGCTCCTCAGCCCTGAATCAATTTTGTTTTCTTTTATGCAATCTACATTTTTTAAAGAATGCTGCTCCCCCTCCCATGTACACATCCTGTACTTTAATGTGGTTTGATATTTCATTCTAAAGCAGGATTGCCAGCATGGCAGCTTTCAATCCCTAACAGTTCAAGGCCAGTTCTTGGGGGGTGGGGGTTCTTGTGATGCTGCAACAGAGGGCCTTTGTGATGTCATGAAGTGGACCTGGGGACCATTTAGCATTACATATGCTGGACTTGGGTGCAAGGACCATGGGGTGTAACAAATGCAAAAAAATTGCATGTTTGTGCATTTCTCTCTTTTTTAAAAAAACATGCTGTGTGTCCAATACATATGCAAACAACTTTGTGCTTAACTAGTAAGTCCAGGTGCCAGCTGGCCATAGGTGGAGAGACAAACTTTGGAAACAAAAACTCCATGCAATGCAAATTTTCCTACCAGCCGGAGGACTGAGGAAGCATAGCAATTTCCTGAGACTTCAGCCAGCACTCTGAGATCTGGGTATCCTATTTCAAAGTGCTTTAAAAACTTTTGTGATCCATTGTGAACTTCAATCTGATAGGGAAAAGCGGTAACATTGTTTTAAATCAAGAATGCATGCCAATTCAGGGCACAAGAGCTTTCAGGCAACCCCCACCCCCCACCCCATGCAGACAGTCAGAAGAAAAACACACTAACCCCGATATTTTAAATATAAAAACAAATACTTTTTAATGACCCTTTATGAAAAATAATACATTTCGAAACTGTACATTAAAAAAGTTTCAGTGTCTTCCTACCTTCTCACACAACATAAGGATCTCACAGCCATTTTAAAAGAAAAAATAAAATAAAAGGAGCCAGCGTAAAGACGGTTAGAGTTCTAGTCCAGATTCACAGACTGTTAATATTTATAGGTATAAATTATGTACTATATCTATACTTATAAAAAGAGCCGAAAGATTGAAAGTTACCCATTGAATAAATGTAGCAATTGCACAATATGCTTTACGATGCTGAAGGCGGCACCTTTCTAGGTGCACTTTTTAGGACAGTCTGATGAAAAGGTGACTCTATGGTGTTACATACAGGTTAGCTGCACAAGCTGGGGAAACATCTTATAGAAAATGCCAACATTCTGTTAGATACCCGGGTTGTGACATCAGGTCTTAATTCCAGGATTTAGGAGCGCTGATTGGGTGAAGTTCCTATGAAAACCTCTGTGGGGCAGGAGATAACCATCAGACAGTGTCTCAGCTTCAAAACAATAGGCATAAATAAAGATTTCACTCCAGTTGTACTTTATTGTGATCTCTTTTTTAATCTGTTTTTTTAAAACTATTATTATTTGACAACTGTATTTCTTTGACTCTGGTTACCACTTGGTGCTGTCCAGAGTGCCATCTGAACCTGAAGCTTAGTCTAACTTCCAGGCCAAGCAGAGGTTCTAGATGGTTAGGCTAGCCTTGGTTTCAGACAAGCAGGTGTTCTGAAAGTCTAACCTAGCCTCAGTCTGAAACCAACCAAGACTTCTTGAGGGCACAGCTAGCTTAGGCTAGACAAGATACCAGAAAAAAGCAGTGTTTTAATGTAAATTCTAGACCAAGCAGAAGTTCCTAAAGGTTAGTCTAGTCTAGAACCTAGACTGGGTTCTATATGAAGTTGGTGTTTAATCGTTTAGTCATGCCTGACTTCATGACCCCATGGACCAGAGCACGCCAGGCCCTCCTGTCTTCCACTGCCTCCCGGAGTTGGGTCAAATTCATGTTGGTCGCTTCCGTGACACTGCCTAACCTCTCGTCCTCTGTCGTCCCCTTCTCCTCTTGCCTTCACAGTTTCTATATGAAGTAGGGGTTCTTAAATGCTAGAATAAACCAGACTAGCCTCCAGGAGCCCCTGCATGGTCTAAAAATCCCATCTTGTTGCAACCACTCGGTGCAACGGCTTGTACATACAGTCAGAAATATAACGGGTGCCCTGAACTGCAAACCTGCATGTGGTAACAGTAGAAGGAATGGCACTGGAATGCACTCTTTCCATATGACTGTGCCAATGTATGAGGTGAGCATTTTTCAGATATGTACTTGTGTGAAATCTTGGCATGGAGAACCATTGAGGGTTTTTTCGGGTTTGGCCTTGAGAACCAAGATCTCCTAACCTAGATTTCCAAAGCAAGGTATTGCTTTTCTTCATTTAGCATTCTAAAAACTGGACTTAGGTGTGTAGGAGTCAGATTTGGTTACTCTAAAACCCAAAGTCCAGGGAGTCCCTGAACGATCATCAATCCTTGCGTTGAATTTCACTGGTGGTTGCCATTGGAAACTTGTTTCCCAGCACCACATAGGAAGAAATTCAGCACCTTTATCTTGCTTTGGGTTTGTGAGATTGCTTTGTCCCTACGTGCTATCTAGCTTCTTCTCCCAAGCAGTAAGTTCAACAGAAGCTATTCTGCAGAAGGTCTTGTCCAAGGACGCATTTATTCTGTGTCACAATAATCCCAGTTTTGCAGGAAGAATAAGGTGAGTGACTTATGCAAGTTAAGCTAATATGCATATTTTTCTTTTCCATGCCAAATCCATTTTGCTTCTGCCAGTTTTCACCCATCTTTGTGGAAAGAGCCAACAAATGAAAAGAGAGAGAGAGAGAAAGAAAGGAAAAATTGGTGGGGGGATGGAAGAGAGAATTGAGGGCTGGCAGAAAGAGAGATGGATCTATACATGGCCCTGAACAGACAACTCCCAACATGAAAATTTTCACAACTTTCAGTTGAGACTCTTTTTTCTCTTAAAACCAAGAGCCAAGATTCTGCATCTTTTCTGCACTTCACTGGCTCACGGAAGTCACAAGGCTCTGACCCTGACCCAAACTGCAGTCACACTTTGTCTTCTATCCCTGAAACATCTACAATTCTTCTGTTCTTTGGGTCCAGGAAAAATGATGGCAATAGTTTATCTCGGTCAGCATGCTTTGGATTTAAACCCCACCCCACCCTGGCGCTCTCTTCGAAGCCAAGATACGCAATCCCAGCCTGGAGTCTTCTACTACAAGACACAATGTAAAGGAAGGGAACGAAGAATACTCTTTTAAAAAAAGAAAGAAAGATCCATTTGCGTTTCTTTCACGAAACGGTCTCTACTCTTAAATAATCTCTGCGAAGGTCCAGATGGGATTTGTGCACCAAGAAGAGTTGCAAGCTCTTAAAGAAACTGATTGAATTACAGAGTGCCCACCTCTCAAGATTCAGTTCTGTCCCACTGATGGCAACAACGTGAAATGGTTCCTTTGTGGGATGCACGCACAAAAACCTTCCCGTGGGCACTCTGAAGGCAGCAGGTAGGCAAACAGGCAGGCAGGCAGCGCACAGCAAGCAGCTCCACTCTCCCGGCTTTGCTCGGGATTTGGTGGAGCCACTTGCCACACAGAGACAACGACGGGAGTCGCCGCCAATTCACACCAAGGATCCGGCTTGGCTCTGGGCAGGCACCATGACGGGCACCGCTCCCATTCGGTTTAGCGTAGAGGAGGTCAGTCCCTGGGGAGCAGCGGACTCCTGCTGTCGGGGAGCCTGGGGCTGAGCCCTGTTTGTCCTCTGGAGAGTGTTCCGATGGGACGGCATGTTGGCATGGTGGCAATGGACCCCGTTGGCCATTGGCGGGAAGTACAGGGGCAAGGACTGGCTGGAAAGGCTGGGCGTTGGCGTGAGGGTCCCGCTCCTGGGGTTGTTGAAAGGGGGCTTAAAGCCCACCGTGCTGCCCGTGGCGGTCGTGATGGAGGCGGTGTCTGAGGAAGGCTTGGATGCGTAGAATTTGTGATCCCGGGTGGTGTTCATGGACGACAAGGTGCCGTTTTTGGAAACTGCGTCAGAACCGGGACTCTTGGCCCAGGAAAGCGTTTTTGGAGCGACGGCGTCTTCCCTGCGAAAATGTGGGAGAATTAGATGGGAAGCAAGAGGAACATCTGGATTGATCAATCAGTGCAAATCCAATCCATATTGCTTTTTTTTTATCACATCTGCATCACTGCACCCTATGTCTGGTCGTTATGGTAGTCAGCACTGCTTTCCTCCTTCCTCCCAGAAGCAGGCCATGAGGTTGAGGAGCTGCTGTGTCCTCATATTTTGGCCCAAATGGAACGTCTTCCTCTCCTACCTCAAACATGTACAGTGGTACCTTGACTTACAAAATTAATCTGTATTGGAATGGTGTTCGTACATCGAAAAGTTCGTTAAGTCGAGGCAAAATTTCCCTTAGGAATGCATTGAAAATCATTTAATCCGGTCAGGCTGTTTTTCGTTTGCATGTCGAGGCGCTGTTCATAAGTAGAGGCATTAGTTCCCATAGGAACTAATGCAAAGCTGATTAATCCGTACTCTACCACTAGGGGGTGAATTTTTTAAAAGTTTTTCTTCTTTTGACCTCAGATGAACTTAAGTCAAGGCTCAGTTCGCAAGTCAAAGCAACATTTTGCGAACGGAGCCGTTTGTAACTCAAAACGTTCGCAAGTGTAGACATTCGTAAGTCAAGGTACCACTGGTTTTAGAAAAGAATATCAATGCAAGAGCAGGTGATACCTTCTTTATTAAACCACTAAAAATTAAAATAAATCAAACAACAGACAGGTCACTTTCAATGACAATTCATATTCCTCAGGCTGTGTACCAAGATCATGTGGGCAGTTCAGAAAATGGAATAATTTTATTGGAGTTTCAAAGTCTCATGACCCTTTTCGATGGCCAGAGGAGCTTCTTTAGAGGGACACAGTCTGCAAAAGGCTCCCTCCATAAGCCTTGTGCAGACTGCATCTATAACGATCTAAGAAACTAAATGGGCTTCAGCAATGGCCATGAGACTTTGGAACTTCAATAAAAGCATATGATTTTCAGAACTACTCCAAAGAGCTTGGTGCACAGCCTGAAGAAGATGATTTATCATCAAAAGCAAGCTGGCATTTGATTTTTAAGTGATCTAATAAAAGTAGCACCTGCTCCTGCATTTGTATTGTTTTGGAGACCCCGTGGCCCTAGTTTTAGAAAGACACTTCTCACATATCCTGGAACATTCATTATTTCTTTACACTTGTAAGTGCTGAGCATTGGCTCAAACCAAGCCATAAAGATGGAGTATCACTGTTAATTTTGAAAGGGTCAAATATGAATGTTGATTCACACAACCTATGGCACTCCAGATGTGGTTGGATTTGTTCATCATTGCCCATGTTGGCTGGATCCAATTAGGGCCAACATCTGGAGGGCCACAAAGTTCTTTACCCCACCTTCTAAGTGCCAGATGTTGATATTGAATCAAGGTTCTCACTTGATCTCATTGGCCATTTCCTCTTGGGCCTCTTTCTTCCTCCTTCTGTAAGCCAACATCTGGAGTGGAAACAAGACGATCAGACAGAGGCCAATTAGTGTGCCTGCCACCGCACCAGCTACCACTGCTGCATTGATGGCTGCAAAGGGAGACACAGCAGAAGAGAGAAAGAAAATGATTGGTAGGTATGAAAAAAACCTCCAATGACTAGAACCAGTACATATATGAGATTCAAATCTGGAAGACTGGAATCAGTTGTGGGGAACAACTTAAGGTGAGTGTTCTCAATATCTGGCTGTTGTCTATGCGGGCTGCTTCTCCTGGAGTCGAAGACCAAAAGATATGGATAGCCAAGGAATGAGGACCAATGATTGAAAGGACTCAAGTTTTTCTCTTCAGAAACAGCTACATCCAAGATCTCCCCTCAGAAGCTGCCCCTCTGCCTGTAACTGCCTGCTCAGTACATCCACTAAGCTTCCTAGAAATGTAAAAAGTTGTGTGGTACCTGGTGATTTTAGTGATTTTAGATATGTTGATTCATTTGGCTATAAAATGGTCCCCAAGGTTCCTGGAGACACCAAAATCACAAAGAAGGTTCCCCTGACTCTTTTCTACAATCCTTCCAAGTTAGGTGAAGATTGGGTTTCCCCAAGCTAGTTGCTAAAGGGCATTTTCCTGGTGGGGGAGACCGATTTTGTGGGTGAAACTCAATCTTCAGGAGAAAGCTGCTCTGTCATTTTTATGTCTCTAGGTGCCTAGGAGGAACGTTCCTGGGGGAGGGGGACTCTTTGTGGGTGTATAACTTGGACATCTCAAAACTCTCAGTGTTCACCAAACAGGGAATGGTTGGAGAGGAGACATAGAGGGAGATTCCCTGACCTTTTGGTGTCTCTAGGAGCTGGGGGGTGTTTTATAGGGGTTTGAAGTAAAAAATGAATTGACATATCAATTTGTTGATTCATCAGGAAAAAAATTCATAAATTCATAAACCATTGACCTTGATGAATCACAAATCAAAACAAATTACCATTTTATAAATTCATGCCCATCTCTAATGGAAACCGTTGAATATATTGCTACTTATATATGATGCCTCTAAGAGGTTTTGGATGTGAGGGACTTTTCTGGACAGGGATTGGCTGCCAATCAATCCATTAACGGTCTGTTCTTTCCTCTCTACCTCAGGATTCCTTTCCTCAAACTTTTTTTTTTCCAATCAGTGTTAAGGTTCTGTCAGTACTAGCAATTGGGTTTGTCAAAAGTGGACAGTTAGAGCGATGTGTTCTGTCAGCATCGAAGCCAGTCAGTAATTCAGTAATAAATCTAATTATCCAGTTAGGTTCAGTGATGTTACTAGTTAACATTTTTTACAGAATATGATGTTCGTTTTTATCTTTGAAGAGCTGTAAGTAAATGGAAACATTTTAATTTTTCCCCTCATTTCCAGCGTCTCTGTGCGAATTGAGACAATAAGTGCTGGCAGAGGA